GGCTTTATTGGCTGTTAAGCCATAGAACTTCTAAAAATATTTTTTTTATTTCATTATTTTTTGCTGTTCAGTTTCATGCCCTGTGATATGCAGAAAAATACTAGCTAATATTCTTCATATTAAAAGGTGCATTGCCATGGGAAAGTCTGCTGTTAGGGACCTCTCCAAAGTACTGAAGAGCAATGGTGTCTCTCTGGAGACCAAGGTGCATCTGATACAGGCCATGGTCTTTGCAATCACTTGTTATGCATCAGAGAGTTGGACAATGACCAGGGAGGATAGAAGGAGAATTGATGCCTTTGAGCTGTGGTGCTGGAGAAGAGTATTGAGAATACCATGGACTGCTAGGAAAACAAACAGATTCATCCTGGAAAGGGTTAAACCAGGTGGCTCTTTGGAGGCAAGGATTCTGAGGCTCGGTCTAACATACTTTGGACATGTTGTAAGAGGAGACTGGTCTTTGGAGAAGGACATCATGCTGCGGAGGGTGGAGGGACAGCACAGGAGGGGAAGGCCCTCTATGAGGTGGATTGATTCGGTGACTGGGGTTATCAGGATGGGAGTGTCAGAGACAGTGCCATTGGCACAAGACAGAGCAGAGTTTAGGGCTGTTGTACATAGGGTCGCTATGAGTCGCAAGCGACTCGACGGCACATAACAACAACAACAAATATTCTTCAGCCTGCCTTAGGAGTGTCTCTCTCTCTCTCTCTTTTTTAATTGGTAAAGAGAAAAATAAAGGGGTAAGGGAAGAGATTGTGAGTCATATATAACTTCTTGTCCAAGACATGCTCGATCTTCTTAAGAGCAAAAAAGAAAATCAATCCAAAGATGAGTAAGGAGATTGAATGTCTGGGACTGGGACAAATGCTTCTAAAAAAGGAAGTCATGAAGGGTAAGGACCATGCAGTGGAAGAAAGGTCTCTGGGGTTGCAAGGAAGAGGCACTGAAGCCACAAATTAAAAATAAAATATACAAGACTTGCAGTAACTATTAGGTATGTTGGGCTGTAAGTGCCATCACAGAATTCTTGATTCTAAGGTGTGGTTATGAAATGCTGCCAGGTTTGGATTCTTTGGTTTGTGTTTTTCAAGAAAAGGTGGTACTTTTTTGCTCTGAGATCTTCCTAGTCAATCATTCTGGCCATAGTTAACAAAAGCTGCAAAGCGAAAAAGAGTGTGTGTCTTACTCTGTTGCTGTCCTCGTTGTAACCTTGGAAAAAAGTAAGAGGATAAGAGCAGACTGCAGCCCGAAGACAAGGGAAGATGCCTTATGCCCAAATCACCTGAGAAATGTCTTGGTTGGAATGAAAACATACTTGCTTGCAGTAAGTATGACCTGAAAATCTAAAAGAGGAAACCCTTCGCAATTCTAGAATATGTAGTGTGGGGAGCTAACTGGAATGCCTGCAGTTGTTTCCCAATGTGATTCATGGCTGAGCCTCACCAATATAATCTACCACCACTGATGCTTGGTCAGCAAGAACAGGCTTTCAGTGTTTACATTCCAATGCTGTAGATGGTGGTTGTAAAGCAAGGGGGGCGGGTCTCAGACTCAGAGCAAAGAGGGGATGAATCCATTATGTACCCTACTAATTTTTATGGATGAAATGCGCGCGCGCGCGCGCACACACACACACACACACACACACACACACTCTTTCTCTCTGAATCCTTTTTGCTAAATGAACACAGATGCTGTTTGTGATGAGCCTAATTCATCTTAATGCTACCCAATTTGTGCTGCGTGTTCTTTGCTGGTAGATATTTTACACGCACAACACACTCATAATTGGCTACGGAAACCAGTGGATTTTGACTAAGACTTGGTCAATGTCATAGGAATCTTTTAGTGAGAACTTACTTGATGTTACCTGTCCTATTCCTACATTAATGGAACGTATTCCACCTTGAGTGCCTTCCTTGATGTGGTGTTAACACACTTATAAATTTCACGGTAAGTGAGAATGGCCAGGGACTGAAGAGGATGGTTTGGGGAGGCGACTGGAGTGTGCTGTACTGCTACTGACACCGTGACCAGCACTAGGATGGTCATTAAGAGGATCAAACCCCAAGTTAATATTCCGATGACTAAAGACAGGGTGAACCTCAGGGCACCTTGCTAACCTGACGTGGCAAAAAGAATAGAATTCCTCAGGTATCTTTCCCATCATTCAAACCCAGTCTCACCGCTTTACACACACTTAACCTCGACTTTAACTCTGAATGCTCTGCACTTTTCAAAGTCATCTTTGACCTGAAAGTGCCCGAGGGTATCTTCGGCTCTGGAAGAGTTAGAGGGCTCAACTCAAGGTTATTACCAAATGAGAGAGATAAAAGTGCAAGTGCTGACCTTTTCCTCTGAAATGTCACGATTCACGTCTGGGTATCTTAAATATTAGGACGCCTGTGCTGCCTTTGTGTCAGATGCATACTTGATAAACATCATGTGTGTTAAAGGAAAGAAAGGTACAGGCTCACCCCAAAACCGCAGAGCCGCTGAGCAATGAACTTGAACTCGTGTGTGTGTGTGTGTGTGTGTGTGTGTGTATGTATGTTTAAATATAGGGAATTATATCAGTTTTGTATAGCAAAAGGTATGAAAATGGTCTCTCATTCTTTCTGAAATATTTGCAGCCGTGTACAATCTCCTAGAAGACACACTCCAAGCTGTCAACTCTTGCTGTAAAGCAATGTGGAGGATGCAGTTGTTTTTTTATTGAGTCCACTCCATCAGGTCTCATCAATGGTATGACAAATGAAGGATCTTACGAACTAACCATACTTGCAAATCACCACTCTTCTGTCGGTTTGCTGCACTGTCATGCCTTGTATGTGGCATCTATGATGCTAGAAACTGTGCTATCAGTATTTAAACACCCAACAGTCTCTCCCATAGTGGACAGATTTAAGTGGAATTTCCAGACTGAACAATTTAGGAAGAAGAGCCTGGCAATCTATTTCTGGGGGGTGGGGTGGGGGGTGGAAATAGCCACGGATAACCTGACAGAAAGTACAAGGACAGCGTCTGATACAGTGCTAGAAAGTGACCACCTCTTAGGTCGGAAGCCGTGATTACATCACGATAACGTCATGGTTAGTAAAGGAGAGCATTAGTGAAAACAGGGAAGCACTTTAGGAGACAGCTTGACACGGCAGCTGCAACAACAGACACAAAAGCCACCAGTGGTCATGACGAGGGAGCAGAACTGGACACCATTCTGCTCTCTGTGAGTCAGCTATAAACAATCAGGGAGACTCAGAGGTTTATTTACCCATGGTATGGGGTCCAATCAGTGGACCTGGGATAATGAGTGGGCTGGTTTGAACAGTGGGATATCCCATGAATTGCCAAAACTCCAAACAAATATGTCCTGGCAAGGGTGCGGCCAGAGTGTTCCTTGGAGGCGAGGATGATCAAACATCACCTTTCATCCTTTGGACACATGGTTAGGCAAGGATATTCCTTGGAAAAGGACATCATACTTGGAAAGATTGAGGGTTAGTGAAAGAGGAAGACCCTCAGTGAGGTGGATGGACACTGTGACTTCAGCAATGGGCTCTAGTGTCTCAGAGATTGTGAGGACGGCACAGGAAAAGGCAGGTTTCACAACAGCAGTTCTTAGGGTCATTATGAATCATACTCAACTTGACAGTACCTAACAATAACGATTTGAGAGCTGGACAATGAATAAGGATGACTAAAATGACCCTCCAGTGCCTCTGAGTTATGGTGTTGGAGAAAAGTGCTGAATATCCCACGGACTCCCAAAAGAACAAACAGACATAATCTGGAGGAAGAAGCACCCTGGCAAAGGTGAGAATGCTTCACCTCACACACTTTGGGCATGTTGTTAGGAAGGGCTATTCCTTAGAAAGGGATATCATATATGGAAATGGGGAGAGGGGCAATGAAAGAGAGGAAGACCCTCAACGAGATGGACTGACATAGTGACTGCAGCAATGAGCTCACGAACAGCAGAGGTAAAGGCGGCATGGGATAGGAGATGTTCAGATCTGTTGTTTACAGGGTCGTCATAAGTCATACTTGACTCCTCACAATAACGGTACCCAACAACAACAATATTCTGACCTAACGTTAGGAGCTGACTTACAGGTAAAGAACCACAAAAATCACACAGCAGCCAAAAGAATAATATCCAAACCCTGGTGGTGTTTCGTCCTTTGGTGGAAAGGGAGCGAAAGGATTGGTTAAAACACTTCCTTTCCCAATGTGGGTCAAGCTGACACATCCCAGAGAAAGAACCAGACTCATAGTAGCCAGCACATGCGGAAGAAGATCTAGCACTTGTTTTTCTCGGTTGGAGATGATTTCTGGTCAGCTCTGCATTTCATTGTAATTCTGGGTAAGAGTCTCAGCTGTGGTTTACAGAATCGCATCAGCACTTCCGAACTCTACTCATTGATTCCTGGAGAATGGCGCGACAAAATTCAAACGAGACAGAAATTGCTTGGTTTCTCCTCCCCCCACCCCCATTCCTTCCTTCCTTCCTTTTTTTTCTCTCTTTTTCTTCCTCTTCATCTTTCCCACCCACCCTCTCATTTTCCATTAAATAATATTTTATCTAGAACTAGCAATTTCCTGCAACTGTAATCTAAAAATCTAAATTCTCAGTGCCTGGGAAAGAGTGGAGTAGCCAAGAATATGCCATGAATTACTCTTTTGATAAATTATATATATACTACAATAGCCCGAAGGACTAAAATGATGACTCAGAATATATACTTCAGCTATGACGTGAGTTCCTAGACCATTGGATTTGGGATAATGAGTGGACTTGGTTTGATGAAAGAGTAATCTGAGAGTTCATTTTTCCACAGTGTGGAAAATTCTAGATTCCAGCCACAATGGACCACAGGCCAGGGTCTACCATGCTATATCTCCCAGTGAGGCTCTCTCATCTCAATATAATAAACAGCAAGAACTAACAGGAGGAAGGGTTACTCTGGAGCCATAAAAGCAGAAAAGTGGGTACTCACGCCAAACATTTGTCGAAGGTCGGGATCCCGGAACCTGAAGGGGATATTGGAGACATGCAGCCTCTTGGGCTGAGACTTGTTTTCCGTGTTTTCAGAAGGTTGTGTCTGTGGCTGGCCATCCGTTGGTGCTGCATCATCTGTCTGCTAAAAGAACAAGGGTACATCTCAGAGGCTCAGTGGATACAAAGGCTCTGAGTCCATGTGTTTGTTTTTATTACTCTACATGTGACAACACGCAAGAACAAAGGAATAAGGAAAGATGAGAGATAATTGGAGGAGCTCTGGGGACACAGTGGTTAAGCACTCGGTGATTAATTCAAAGGTCAGTGATTCAGAAGGTTGGAGGTTTGAACTCACCTGCATTTCAGCAAGGGAAAAACCTGTTGAGCTATTCCCATAAAGGTGAAGCCTGCTAGGGCAGTTCTACTCTGTCACATGGGGTCATTATGAATTGGAATTAACTTAAGGGCACTCAACAATAATATGGGGGGGGGAAAAGGAACTGCTGATATACTCTTTCATCCATTTATTGATTCAACAAATATTTACTCAATAACTACTGTGTACCAATAGCTGTTCGTTCCCTGTGCTCACTGAGTGTAAATTTTCATTGAAGACAGATAACAAACAACCAAATGGAACATATGACACACAGAGAGAAATACTACAAAGAAAATCATAGAAAAGGAGGAGAATTCTAAAAGTCAATTAAAAAAACTCACTGAAAAAAGGGCATTCATCCAATGATGAATGTTGCTGCTGTGTTCTGTTGTGTGCAAACCAACTCATAGCTGATCCTCCAGAAGGTTTTCAGAGGTAATAAATCACGCATAAGGAGATTGTCCGTCGTTTTTCCCCATGGAGCAGCTGGTGGATTTGGGATTGCAGTGTAGCTTCTTACCACCAGGCCACCAGAGCCCTCTTGATAATATAGCCATTGTCATTCTTTTCACTTTAGCTCATTTCAGAAATACTTTCCCTGCAATTATCAGGTCCTGCCTCTAGGTGGCAGAGGATACCTCCTTTATGTTGTTGTTATGTGCCATCAAGTCATTTGCGACTCATGGCGACCCTATGTACAAGAGCCCTAAACACCACCGTTCTATCCTGTGCCAACCTCACTCTCTCAAACACATTCATTCCCACCACTCCACTCACAGAATCGATCCATCTCATCGAGAGTCTTCCTCTCCTGCACCATACCTCCACACTCCCAAACATGATGTCCCTCTCCAAGGACTAGTCCTTCCTTCCAACCTGCCTAAAGTATGTCAGACGAAGCTTCAGAATCCTTGACCCCAGGGAACATTCTGGCTTCACCCACTCCAGGACAAACCTGTTTGTTCTCCTAGCAGTCCATGGTATATTCAACACTCTTCTCTAGCACCACAACACAAAGGCATCAATTCTCTTTCTATCATCGCTATTCACTGTCCAACTCTCCGATGCATAGCACGCAATTGCAAAGACTATAACCTGGATCAGGCGCACCTTAGTCTCCAGCCTGACCTTGTTGCACTTCAGTACTCTTGAGAGGTCCCTCACAGCTGACTTTCCCAATGCAATTAATCTCTTGATTTCCTGGCTGCTGTTACCAAGAGTGTTAACTGTAGAGCCAAGTAAACTAAAACTGCTAACTATCTCAATCTCTTCCCCATCCATACTGATGCTGCCAATTGGCCCAGTGGTGAGAATCTTTGTTTTCTTGATATTGTGCTTCAATCCATATTGAATACTGCAGTCCTTGACCTTCTGCAGCAAGCTCTTCAGGTCCTCCTCAGTTTCCATGAGCAGGGTTGTGTCATCTGCGTAACACAGGCTGTTGACGATTCTTCCACCAATCCTGATAACACATTTCTCCTCATACAGCCCAGTGTCTCGGATGATCTGTTCTACATACAGATTGAAAAGGTATGGAGACAAAATACATCCCTAATGGACCCCTTTCTTGATTTTGAACCATCCAGTGTCTGTTCTGATGACTGCCTCTTGGTCCAAGTATACGTTTTGCATTAGCACGATCAAATGTTCTGGGATTCCCATTCTTCTCAGAGTCAGCCATAGCTTGTTGTGATCCACACAGTCAAAAGCCTTTGCACAGTCATTGAGATCCCTGTTTATATAAATAGAAAGCCTCTGCAGAAGCTCATCAAATTTATGACCAAGGAATCTTCCTCACCTATTTATAAGCAATTTATAAGCATATAACTGGAATGAAACTATCAATGCAAGCAGCCAGGTGTAAAATAATAAAGCCATAGAAGAGACAATCTTACAAATTGAAATATAAAAGAAACATCCAAATAACACGGGTATAATTAGTAATTTTTCTCATCAACCCTTGTACTTATTGGCAGATTTCACTTGCATCTGCGTGCCCTCCCCTACACACCATGAATTGTATTTTGAAGTTTAAACCTCCCAAAGACTACCAGTATACAATTCTTTTGTGCTACTGTGTTTAACAGGTAGAAAGATGTTAACAGTTTTCTTAAGTTAAAAATAGGCAGTGATAATAGAACATCTCTTATAAAGCTCTGCTCTGTGAAGTTGTAACACAAGAATAATGTGTGTCAGGTTGGCAGAGCTTTTTGGCACACGGGATGCATTCAAATAAAGTAGTCCTGGTGGATCAATGGTTAAGGTTTTGACCAAAACGCTGATCAAACCTTTCCAGGAGGTCACTGAGACAAAGACTTAACAATCTGTTTCCGTAAAGATTAGCTTAAAGTCACCTGGAAAGGAATCACAGATCTTGGGCAAAGTGGAGGAAAATGTGAAACAAAACTCAAAAAACCTAAAAAAGGCCAGACTTACTGGTCTGTGAGAGACTGGTGGAACACTGAGACTAAGATCCTTAGTTGCCCTTCAAATCTGCAACAAAGTTCACTCCCCTGGATGAATTTTCAGCAGAAACAATACAGTCACCACTTAGACCAGGGAGGCATTCACTTCTTACAATGGCTAACCATAGAAAGTCAAAACAGCCTAAAGTTCAGAAGGCAAATAGAGCTATGACAAAATGATTAATGGAAACGAAAAAGGAAGGAATGAAGTATGAAAGTGTGATTACACCGTGGGTCTCACACAATTAATGCTATAAAACACAACATGTACAAATTGCTGAATGAACACTCAAAGGGCTTTGTAAACTTTCATATAAATCACAATCTTCATAAATAAAATATTACACCCTAGAAAATTCTGTGGGGTCGTTCTACTTTGTCACATGGGGTCTCCAAGGGTCACTATCAACTCAAAGGCACACAAAACAACAACATCTACACAATAAATGAATCATGAGAACCTCATCTCTCAAAGTGGCTGTGGTTCCCTAGCAACTTCAAAGCAGATCAACTCCTCCTGAGTTGATTCTGACTCACAGAGACCCCATGGGACAGAGTAGAACTGGCCCAAAGGGTTTTCAAGCATATAATCTTACAAAAAGAGTCTGCCATGCCTTCTTCTCACACAGCAGTTGATGGATTTGAACTACTGACTTTTGGGTTACTAGTCAAATGCTTGATCACTGCCTCACCAGGGCTCCTGTGGTACTCCAGCAGGAGGAGCTGACTTTGCAGAAACAGTAAAGAAGAATCAGGCCTAGATCTCAAGCTTCTAGTGTATTTTCTCCTTTTTGTTACAGAGAGACTGAGAGTCTCCTTCTGTTAAGATTACAGCCTTGGAAATTCAACGGAGGGTCACTATAAGTCAGAATAGACTTCTCTGACAGTTGAGTTTGGTAATTTTTTTTTTAAATTGTCACAAGTTGTTTCCTAAACGCAAATGCAAACAAGCTCCAGCTTCTCCCAAGAAGGAGACTTACATTTGGGTTTGTGCACAACTGCTGGCTGTTTCAGTTTAATAAACCTAATTAGGAATTACAGAGATTATGATTAAACATATTAAATGATTAATAGCATTATGCCGGTCATGTGAAAATGAGAATTAATCATCTTTAGTCAAACAGGACTGTGGAGGAATCTTTGCGTTGTTTCCTTTGATAAAAACACACAACGCTCAATTAATCATTTTGTAGTGAATGCAGACATGCAAATGCTCATAAATTGTTCTGTAGGAATACCTGTTTAAAAATCATTTTACATGTAGTGAGATCGGTTTCAATGTGTTTTAAAAATTTTTGAAAAGAGTAAAATACAAAAAGAAAATCAAGACAAAATGTTTCATTGTACTGTGGGTGTGAAAATTAAAGAGAAAAAAGATTTCAGGATTTGGAAGCTTCAAAGTCTAGGGGTAGGGAAATATATGCGCTGCTTCATTGGTATGGTTTAAGGGGGAAGCAGTTCTCTTTCTGGTTATTTTCTCCAATCAATCTATCTTCCTTTCCTTTCCTTCCTTCCTTCCTTCCTTCCTTCCTTCCTTCCTTCCTTCCTTCCTTCCTTCCTTCCTTCCTCCCTCCCTCCCTCCCTTTCTTCTCTCTCTCTCCCCCTCCCTCCCTCCCTCCCTTTTTTCCTTCCTTCCTTTCCATTGCAAGTGCCTTTTATATTTTTTTTTCTTTGTGACTTGAGGGACAATTTAGAATTTATATTGGTTTTCATTCAACCATTCCATCCAACTAATTATAATTAATTAATTACAATGTTTGAGAATCCTCTTGTTGTATATTCCCTTTCCCTTCATCAAGCTTATTAAATGTCTATTATCTCTTTTTTTTTACTCTTTTCTCTTTTCCTTCCCATTGCTAGTAACCCTTCAATAATATTTCTTTGTAAAAATCTTTTCTTAGCTTTATAGACTAGTGGTCTCACACAATATTCATCCTTCTGGGATTGCCTGACTTTAGTATTATTTCCTCTAGGTTCATCCAGTTTATAGTGATTCTCAAATTATTATCCTTCGTTACTATTGTATAGAATTTCATTGTGTACATGTACCATAGCTTTTTAAAAAAACTTGATGGGCACTTGGGTTATTCCCATATATTTGCTACTATAAATAATGCTACAGTTAACATGAGTGTGTAGGTATCAGGTGGTGCCACAGCTCTTACTTATTTAGATATGTGCCTAGTGGAGGGAATTTTGGTGGCCTAGTGGTACAAAGCTGCACTACAATCTCTAAGGCACTCAGTTCAAATCCACCAGCTGCTCTACAGAGGAAGGATAGACAATCTTCCTCCTGGG